CTTTTATTTAAAATAAAAAACACTAATTTCTTCTAATCCCCAATTGTGACATCTGCGTAATCCTGTTGGGCACTAGCGGAAATGTAATGGGTTTAGGATCGAAAATTTAGAGGAATGGGATTTCATTTCACTCAAACTATTTTTGCAAACACTTGACAATTATTGCCCGATACAAGAGACTCTCAAATTTGCTCACCCACTCACTCTCTACTACTTTTCTTCTTGCTCTTTCTCTGATCCCTCCAAGCCTTACAAAGGCTTCTATTTATACTAATGCACTACCACCATTGCATACTAAATATCATGATATTTGTTGTGGTGTTTGGTTAAGTGCATGGCTAGAATTTGCTTAAGCTAGGTGGTGGTTCTAGAACAACAATTTATTAGGTGGGTAGGTTTCATTTGTGGTTGATTTTGTTTAGGTAGTTGGCAGATTTCTTTGTGGATTTTTGTAGAATGGTTGGGATGGTTCTAGAGAATTGGGGATTAGATAGTTCCACACCCCCTATTAATCCACAATTCGTATTTGCTCCATGAACTTCTGAAACTTTTCTCGAGTGACTGATTTTGTCATGATGTCCGCTGGCTGATCGTTGGTGTTGATAAACTCCATTTCAATTTCTCCATTACTCACAAGGTCTCGTATGTAGTGATGTCGTAGCTCAATGTGTTTCGACCTTGCATGAAATAGTGGGTTCTTCGTCATTGCTATTGCTGACATATTGTCGCAATGGATTATGGTAGGATCATCATCTCCCTGTTGCGATATACTCAGCTTCTGCTGATGATAGTGCGACGGTCTTCTGTTTCTTCGAACTCCATGAAATTGGTTTTGAACCAAGGCAGAAAATATATCCTGATGTGCTTTTGCGATCATCAAGTGATCCGGCCCAGTCGCTGTCGGTATATCCTGTCAGCTTGTTATCTGCTTCCTTTTGGTATTTCAGACCTAATTTTCTAGTGCCTTGAAGATACCTTAAGATTCTCTTTGCTGCTGCATAGTGAAGTTTACTTGGCTCGTTCATGAACCTTGATATGAGACTTACTGCATGACAAATGTCAGGCCTTGTGTGAGTCAAGTAAATAAGCGATCCGACTAGGCTTCTGTATAATTTACCGTCAAATTTTTCAGCTCCGTCATTCAACTGTAATTTCTCGTTCAACGCCATTGGGGTTGATATTGGCTTGCAGTTTGCCATGTGGAACCTTTTCAGTATGTCTTCGACATACTTCTCCTGTGAGATGAATATTTCTCCTGGTTTTTGCTTCACTTGGATTCCCAAGAAATATTTCATTAGTCCCAGGTCCGTCATTTCGAACTCCTTCATCATCGCTCTTTTGAATTCCTCGATCATCTTTGAGCTTGTGCTTGTATATATTAGATCATCAACATATAGGCAGACAATTAAAAAATCCTTGCCTTCTCCTTTCTTGATGTAGAGCGATGCTTCATTTGGACTTCTTTGAAATCCTTCTTGCTGAAAGTAACGATCAATCCTGCTATTCCGTGCTCGAGGTGCTTGTTTAAGTCTATATAGCGCCTTTCGGAGTCGGTAGACTTTATCTTCTTCTCCTTTCTTCTCGTATCCCTGTGGTTGCTCCACATACACTTCTTCTTCGAGTTCTCCATTTAGGAATGCCGATTTGACATCTAACTGGAATATTATTAACTCCAGTTGTGCTGCTAAGGCAAGAACAGTTCTGATGGTTTCCATCTTGGCCACTGGTGCATATGTCTCGTGAAAATCTATGCCAGGCTGTTGTGTATAGCCTTTTGCCACCAGTCTCGCCTTATGCTTCTGGATTGATCCGTCCTCGTTGAACTTGGTCTTGTAGATCCATTTTAGACCTACTACTGGCTTGTCTTTTGGCTTGTCCACGAGCTCCCATGTTTTGTTCTTCTCGATCATCAAGATTTCTGCATCCATAGCCTTCGTCCAGACTTCTTCTTTCACAGCTTCTTCAAAATATTGCGGCTCACAAGAAAAATAAGCTACATGACCAGCATCATAAATATCTTGCAATGATCTTATCTTTCTTGGAGGCGTATCTGTGTCTGTGACGCGTCTCTGAAATCATCTCCGAGTGGACTGCCACCTGGACTTGAGGGTGGATCCTGTTGGTTGTTGTCAGCATCCTCAGGAGTTGCAGCTTCCTCCAAAAATTCATTTGTTGGTGGAGATTGTGTTGTTTCTGGCTCCCAGCTCCATTCTGACATTTCATTAAAGATAACATCTCGTGAGATCACCGTTTCATTTTTCACTGGATTATAGAGTCGATATCCCTTGGATTCGTCACTATATCCGGTGAATATAAGCTTTTCCCCTTTCTTATCGAACTTATCTCGATTTGGGGTAGAGATATGAGCATAGGCTATGCATCCGAAAATTTTAAGTTGATTAACTTGTGGCTTTCGGTGATGCCATGCTTCATATGGTGTCTTGTTGAGAACTGCTTTAGTCGGTGACCTGTTGAGGATATAGATAGCTGTGTTGACAACTTCTGCCCAGATCTTTAGGGGTAGATTTTTGCCCTTCAGCATGCTTCTAGCCATGTCCACGATTGTGCGGTTCTTCCGCTCTGCCACACCATTTTGTTGTGGTGTATATCGAACTGTCAGCTGCCTCTTGATGCCATTTTGTCTACAATACTCCATGAATGATTTGTAGATGAATTCTCCCCCACGATCTGTGCGGAGTGTCTTGATTGGTCGACTGCATTCTTTTTCCGCTGCTGCTTTGAACTGAAGGAACTTGGAGAATGCTTCTGATTTCTGCTCCAGGAAAAATATCCACATCATCCTTGTATAGTCATCAACAAACAGTAAAAAGTATCTTTTACCGCTTATTGATGGAGTTCTTGTTGGCCCGCAAATATCTGCATGAACTAGCTCCAACGGTGCTCTTGCTCTCCAAGCAGTCTTCGGGAAAGGCAGGCGATGCATTTTTCTATAAATACATCCTTCGCATATTTTGATATCTCTGTTGATGTTGGGTAGTCCGGTCACCATCCTCTTCTGCTTCAACAAGTTTAGGCCTTTGAAATTCAAGTGGCCATATCTTAGGTGCCATAGGAAGGAATCATCCACCCTTTGGGCTTTCAGTGCTACACCTGCACTTCTTGAAAGTGCTAGGGGAAATATTCTACTGGAAGACATAGGTATTTTGGCGATAGTAAGACCATTGTTCTTGTTGATGATCTGACATGCGCCGTTGTCAAATAATAGCTTGAATTTTTTTAGCATCAGTTGGCCAACACTGAGGAGATTTTGCTTCAAATTAGGAACATATAGAACTTCTTGAATTTGAGTTTTGTTACCTGCCTCAGAGTTTACGACCACTGTGCCAATTCCTTTGACTTCCAGTATAGTCCCGTCTCCAATCTTTACTTGAGAGCGGTAATTGTCGTCTATCTCAGTGAAGGACTCCCTTTCTCCCGTCATATGACTACTGCAGCCACTGTCTACCATCCATGGAAGTTGTAGATTTCTATCATCTTTGAGGCATGAGAGTGATACCTGAGAAATTTCCTCAGTTTGAGTGAAACTGGCTTCTCCATCTTCTTTCTTCTTTTGGAACCAACAATCCCTCTGGGAGTGATTCTGATTTCTGCACTTCTTGCATTTAAACTTGCAGTCTCTTGTCGTGTGTCCCGACTTCTTGCAGATTATGCAGTATGGGCTACTGTTGCCATCAGATTTTTGTTGTTGGTCCCTCCTGTTGCTTCCTCCGAAATTTGATTTTCCTCCTCTCCTTTGGAAGTTGCCCCCTCTGCGGTCCTGCTCCGGTTTTGTAATTTTGCTTTCAGCCATGTTAACTCTTGACTGAAAGGCTTGTTCCTGTAGTTGTTGATCGGTAAATCGCCTCATCCTCTGCTCATGAGCAATGAGTGATCCCATCAACTCAGTCATTGGTAATTTAGACAAATCTTTTGTCTCTTCAATGACTGCCACGACATGCTCAAATTTCTGGGACAAACTGCGAAGAATTCTCTCCACAATTTTCTTTTCCTCGATAGTGTCACCAGTTGCTTTTATTTGGTTAACTATCTCAGCTGTACGAGAATGAAAGTCTTTGATACTTTCAGTCTCTTTCATCGACAAATTGTCAAAGTCCCGCCATAAATTTTGGCGTTTGATGGAGATTGCCCGTTCATTGCCTTGAAATTCATTTCGCAAAACTTCCCACGCCTTTTTAGCATTTTTAATGCCAAAAATTCGAGGATAAATGGTTTTGCTTACCGCCTGTTGGATTATCCGTAAGGCGTTGGCATTTTTACGGACATTCTCCTTGTATTGCTTCAGCTCATATTCTGAAGCTTTGCTAGAGTCTCTCTCCGTCAGAACTTCCTCATAACCTTCTTGAATGATATCCCACAAGTCTTGAGCAATGAAGATGGTCTCCATTTGTTCGCTCCAAAACTCGTAGGATTCACCCTCGAAGATGGGAATCTGACTTGGAGTATTCACGAACATAGTGTTCGCTTGAGCTGCCATGATATTTGGGGATTTTTATGGGTAATGATTTGGGGATGGTTTAGGAGGATAGGAAAAATGGTATAAGCTCTGATACCAAATTTGTTGGGCACTAGCGGAAATATAATGGGTTTAGGATCGAAAATTTAGAGGAATTGGATTTTATTTCACTCAAACTATTTTTGCAAACACTTGGCAATTATTGCCCGATACAAGAGACTCTCAAATTTGCTCACCCACTCACTCTCTACTACTTTTCTTCTTGCTCTTTCTCTGATCCCTCCAAGCCTTACAAAGGCTTCTATTTATACTAATGCACTACCACCATTGCATACTAAATATCATGATATTTGTTGTGGTGTTTGGTTAAGTGCATGGCTAGAATTTGCTTAAGCTAGGTGGTGGTTCTAGAACAACAATTTATTAGGTGGGTAGGTTTCATTTGTGGTTGCTTTTGTTTAGGTAGTTGGCAGATTTCTTTGTGGATTTTTGTAGAATGGTTGGGATGGTTCTAGAGAATTGGGGATTAGATAGTTCCACAAATCCCACCTTGCGGTATCCGGTTGCTCCCTATTGCCCTCTCCTCCGCTGCCTGTATTGCCGCCGTATCCGCCTGGTCCACCGGCTTGTCCCCGACTGACAGCGCCACCGCTTCCAGCGCCTCCCCCACCGTTATCCCATCACTACCTCCTCCGGAGGCGCCCGCCGGTAGTGGGACCCCTCCCTTCGGGTCCACATACTTCCCCACCACCTAATAGATCTCTAAAATTAACTTTATTAAACTAAACCGGAGAAAAAATAATTAACTGGGTTTTTTTTTTGTTTACCTGGACGACAATTCTTTTAGTGACGACGCGGGTGCCACCGACGTCAGTGGCGGTGACTTGGTTGCGGTGGACGGCGCCAACTCCGTAGTTGACTGCAGCGGCGGATTCCATGACAGCAGCGGGCCTGCCTCAGAGGCCTTGCTCAGCACCAAGAGCCTGGTGGTGTCCAGATTCCTCGATTGTGGCCATGGCCGAAAGCCACTGTTCACGATGCTGACCATGGTGAGTGGCATTGGTTCGTGGTCCGGTATTGGGGATTAGAAGAAATTAGAATTTTTTATTTATTTTAAATAAAAGTGATAATAAGGTAGAAATGAGGTGGCAATTTTAAAAAAATTATTTTATTGTAAATTGCCACATCACACATTTAACGGTAAATTTTTAGAGTTGACTGCCACGTAAGAAAAAGTTAACGGAGTTGGACGGAGAATGACCAAACGTGAACGGTTTCAGTAAAGTGAAGTACCACCAATGGATTTAAATATTTTGAGTGACAAAACTTGAACGTTTTTTGTAATCTCAGTGACCAACCATGCAATTAACCCGATATGTTTTGCATGTTTGAGTGTATTTCAAGTCCTAGCTGAGGAAATTGGCAAAAGCAACGGAAGTTGGGCAAAAGGGAGCCAAAAATTAGACAAAATGGAGGAAAGTGTTAAAGCTCACAATCTAGAGCAGATTCTCACGGCCAGACCATGACATTCACACTGAAAACTACAAGGATCGGACAGATGCGAACTCGATCGACCTCACGATTTGGCTACAATCCTTATGGCCATGACGGGTGACAAGAAATTCGCACTTTCTGTCTATATAAAGAAGCAGAAATTTGAACAGAGGAGTCTAGAGTGAGAAAGTGCATATGATGGGTAGAGAGAAAAAGTGACGAAGGAGATCATTAGGTAAATAATTGGAGCTTCAAATCACCAGTGGAGTTCAAATCTATCACCAAGGGTTGAAGATTGAAGTGTAAGAGCAAGAACCCAATCCTCAATAAGGTTTTCTTTTCCTGATTTGATTTATTTATATCTCTCTCATCATGAGCTAAACTTTCTATCACTTTGGGTGTGATAACCTTGGTTGATTGACTCGTGATTATATACATTTGAGATATTTCATAAATTGTGTCGGGTATTGATCAAACATATAATAAAAAATTCAAAAACACTTAAATCCACCATATAAGTTCGTGATTGACACTCTAATAAACTGGAATAGCCGGTGAGAGCCAAACAAAGTGGTATTATGATATCAAACTTCATTGATCGGTTTTGCCGGGTTTTGATTGAGTTGAAGCAGGTTTGAAGAAACCGAGGTAAGTCCAAAACAGGTGCAAGGTGTCCTTTTTCCGCCCAGTCCGAGTCAATTCCTGTCGACCCATGGGTCACTTAACAACATTTGTGTTAAGTAAGATTTTGTGAATGGTTAGGGATTTAGAACAAACACGAAGATTTTTGTGTGGATTTTTCCGCGGTGCACTAACTCTCTATTTTTCTTGATCATTCACTATTGGTGAATTCAAAAATTTGAAGTGGTATAAAATTCTATCATTGATAAAAAAAAATCATTGAGAAACAATTTGCGAATATTTGAGGAGAATAATTTGTGTGATAGTGTACAACGTGAGCATCATAAAATTGACACTGAAAGTTGCTTAGTTCTCAAACTTCTCGTGCCGTCACGATCAAACAATACATAATGGAGGTTCCCCTTCAGTAACCCCTTAATTCTACTTATTCCGGTTCCTGCGCACACCACGGAGGGAGCGTTTGGTCATTCTCCTTTTAATAATTATGGGCTTTAGAGCATGGGAGTATTTTAATTAATATGGGCTCCGGCTACTTATTTTTAGCTTGCAATCTTAGTGATATACATGGGCTTTGATTGTGCAATAAAATAAATATTTTTATAACCGGACCAACCGGAAAAGTAGTGATTGATGGTTTAACGATTAATTATTATAGAATCGTTGATAGAATCATTTATGCGCTATAATATAAAAGACATATATAATACACTAATTTAGAAATGAATTCATCACTACCCATAAAAATTTTCAAATCGATATCATCTATCACCAAAAAGTTCTAAGACGAAATTGGAAAAGTTAGAAGAAAACGAATCATCCTATTAAAAAAAATAGAATTCCTTTAATAATAATATCTCTATTAATCCCTGACATAGATAAAAGAAAATAGACCATATAGTTACTATGAAGGAGAATGATTGGAATTTGAATTCGAAAAATCCTCAAGTGAAAATTAAATAGAGGTTGACTTTTTCAATTTTAGTTAGATTAAAGTAATAAAAGAATAGAGAAGAGTGGGTTTTGGGGTGGCTTTATCGTTGTAATTTCTGACACTAATGGGGACTTGGTTTCCGTTTGGTTTGGTCTAGGACATTATGGATGAAATTTGTATAATAAAGTTTAAGAAGTGGGTAAAGCAAAATGTGAGATAGTTGTGGATAGAACCTGTGTGTAAATGAAAAAAAATTAATCATAAATAAGATTAGTGATTGAGGTTTTTTCCTTAATATTTTGTGGTTAAAATAGTGAACCAATTGATCAGTTAAACCGGGGTGGTTCATCTTCTTTTTGTCAAAACGATAAAAATCGTTCGATCCATCTCTAATTGTCCAATCAAATGAACCGAACCACTATTGTAACTGGTTCGATAATTCTACTGGCCCAATTGTTGATCCGGTTTGGTTCTTATATGAAGAAAACTGATAAATGAAACTCTGAAGCCTAAATTAAGTGCATAAGGAAAAAAATTACAAATTAGAGAACTTAGCTCATCAGTTCATTTCAAAATTTATATGACACACAAATAGTAAAATTACTTAATTGAACAGGAATACAAAAAAATGGTATTACTCTGCTACACCCATCGTAACTTCGCAATAAAGGAGCCAATAAACGCCTTTAGTAGGGATACACTATTTGAGATCATCTTTCATTGTCGCTGCACTTTTACTTTCACCCATAAATCCTTATTCAAACGTTGTTGATGTTTTACTAATTTAGATTCTTTTTCCTTCTCACTATCTAATTACAATTGCCTCCGTACTAACATGTTATTATGTATTGGTAATAGAAATTAATTTTTCAATTCAAGTACTTCAATGTTTGTTTCTATATTTACATTCCAAATTTTACTAGCAATGTAATATCCATGGTTATGTATTCCAAGATTTTTATTTTAGAAAGAGATAATCTATGTTTTTTTAATTACACACTGAGGCATCAAGATTGAGCTATTACATATTTTGTGAGTTAATCTGATATCCATTGTGAAACAAAAAAAATTTAGACTATTGTTTCAATTGGAGATTAGTCAATATGTATCCAAGATGATATCTGATCTCAAAACTTAAAAGAGAAATTGAATTCTTCAATGTCATGTTTCGAAGAAGTAGTTGTCAATCAATCCCAAGATGGATATTATTTTATGCCTCTATATGATAGTTATTGACTCAAAGTGCAAACTAATAACGACCACATGAATTCAGCTCTATGATTTAAATTTTTAAAAACTATTAATGATCATACATTTTTTTCCATGACATTGATATTTGCGTGCAATTTCGCAGAGGAAAATTCAAGGACTTTCGTCCCCTGTTTTGTAACCAGAGAGTTTACACTATCAAGACTTTATAGCCATTATGACAATGGGAGATTACATGCCAATTCTAAACATATTGGTCATTAAGTTTGAATCAAATACAAAATTCAAAGCATGCGATGATAATCCAGCCCTATGAGCTTGAAGTTGATCTAGGAGGAGGAAACCAAAAGGCAGGGCGGACCAACGAGAGCCGAGGGGAAGGATCGTGAGGGAAAGCAAACGAGGAGGGCACTTCACGAACTTGGAAAAAACATTGATGAGCTAAAGACTGGGCATGTGGTTAATAATGCTCAAACACCACCTTATCATGAGACTTCTAGATTCTCAACAATATGCATACGCATTGGAGAACATGAGTTTTGGGGGTGCTCAGAAACCATAACATATCACCACCAGAGACTGAAATTCACAGTCGTGGATGGGTGGCCAATGGGCATCTAAAGAACAGGTGTTCAAATAGAAAATTTATTATTCGAAAGCCAGGTAGTAGCCTGTTTTGACTCTATTTAATTATTGTATTTGGTTGCGCGTTATAAATTTGAAGTTTCAAATAGAAAAGGGGGTTAACAATCTTTTTTTTTTGGTAAAAAGTGACCGAGATGGACTAACTCTTCCAGTGAAAAATACTAAAACACCTCAATAAATAATTTCAACCAAAACACTTCAAAAGCTAAATCAATCAAAAATTAAGGATGGAGAAGAGGTAAGTATTAGTTTCAATTTAATGACCCATTAACTATCAAATGCTAACATTTTATGGAATATGTTGGGAAATTTGTATTTCGTCAAATATAGAGTTGTCAAAGTTAAGACGGATGGTGTAATGCTAGATGTAAAACCTGTCCACAAAAGTATTAGTTTCTTTTGTTGTTTATGTCATTACTAACATTATACTTATTCAAGATCCACCTTCGAGTTCTGGACAAAACCACTGAGGCTAACTTTGTTGTTATGGATCGATTTGGAGATGGATTTTTTTGGAATATCTACTCATCTCTTACAAACTGAGGGAATGATACTGAAGCTCGATATCAAGCTCACATATTACATTGCTAATCCAACAAGTGAGTACACGATTTTCAAGATATGGAAGGATAAGAAGAGTAAAACTCAGACGATCTTTATGACTTGATCGAGGTGTCATGATATTGATTTTGGCACACATCATTTCAATGCGTATGACACTGGACTAGATCATTGGCTATACCATGACATTATAGAATTTCCTATGATCGATGTACTATAAATGTGAATTAGAAGCAATGTCATCGGGTTTTTACAAAAAAAAAAATTATATATTTGTTCAATTTTTATATCATGCACATATAATACTTAGCGGTATGCCTACTATGACATGCATGCCACGGTGACATGCACTTTTTGGTCGACCTATTCCTGAAGGCTGTCGACCGAATTGACTAATTTGGGCAGCACGAGAAAGCATTGCGTTCGACCTCAACGACCACCTGGTCGACCGCACTT